GGATTTTATCACTAAATAGCACAATGGGTCCNAAAAAAAAACACCTAAAACCTCCCAAAAGGAAAAATTCCAAGAAATGAAATGTTCAAAACATGCTATTTTCTAAAAGATGTCTGAGGCGCTGGAAGTACGCTTTCTTAGGAAAAACAAATTGCCAAAGTAGCTTTGCTTTTTAAATTCTCATTCTTTTGTGTATCTATAAATATCTCATTATGAACTGCCTTTACAATTCAGACTGCATTACTTTACATCATCCTGGCTAGAGCTAAAGTATCATTATTTAAACCCAAGGCAATCAATTTTATAATGACACATCCATCTCTTGAAATTACAATCAAGTCTGGTTTTTTTCCCCTCCCCAGTTTCATTTCAGAATCCAAAGCCTTTCTTTCTTAGAAGTCCCACAATCCTGCCAAGCTCACCCTTTGTACTCCTGTCAATCTAAAGACATGACTTTTAAGACATTAAGAGGTTAAGAAAGAAGCAGTGAGCAACGGGACATCCAAAAATTAGCACGCGACCAAGATTACCAAAGAGGAAGGCAGATTAGTTTGAACGGCTATTTGATTGACGCACCTTCATCTTGGCCAATTCAATTTATTCAGCAGCCCACTGAGTCTCATGGCTGCCACGTTGGGTAGCGTTTCTTGTTTTAAGGGGGAAAAGCAGGACGAGAAACAGAGTATGCAATTAGCACTTTGAAAAATACTGGCAGCACCCTGGGAAGAGAAGAGCATGGTGGCTGTATAGCTGGGATGGTGAACCACAGATGGCACATGTGCCACTGATGGCATGTGGAGCCATATTTGCCGGCATGGCAGCCCTCAGTTCTGGCACACATGTGCGCACCAGCCAGTCGAATTTCACCCTTTTGGGGGCCAGGGGAGGCCGTTTTCAACCCTCCCCTGGCTTCAGGAAAGACTCGGGAGCCTGGGGAGGGCAAAAAACAGGCCCAACAGGCCAACCAGAAGTTCATTCCTGAACTTCCAGGCTGCAGCTGTTCCTCTGCCTCACTGCTGTTTAGCTCCAAAGGCAGATGAGAACTGCTAGATGGCCTTGGCCCCATCTCTGCCTCTGACACAGAGCCCTCGCCTGAGCTTTCCCCAGCCTCCAGGACTGGCCCATGTTCCTCCCCAGCCTCCTCACTGTCTGACTCTGCTGCCAGCTCCACTGGTGGGCCACAACATTAACGATAGCAGCAAACAGACTCCATTTTCTCTCAAAGTGGATGCATTAACCTAAAAATATAGAGCAATCTGTATTAGATGTGATTGAAGTGTTACCACATAGAGGAAGCAACAATGAGGAGACGTGTCTGCCACATGGGAGGCTGTTTTGTCACAATATGCCAGTTCAGCAGCCCACACGTTTCTCATCCTTGCCACCTCCACCTTTCCTATGCCTCAGTGTGAGTCTCCCCGCCTCCAGCGAATCATTTGGAGCAAATTGCTTTTACAACGCTGTGTTGTCTGACTTCCTCCCACCGGCAAAGGGCTGTCAAACAGCCATCTCTGCTCAGCACTACTCTCAGACAAGGAAGCCTTGTGAATCCATGATCAGCCAACAGCACCTCTCAAACGGTGGATGGAGGGTAGTGTTCTTACCTAGGCTTCCCGAAATCACCAAGCAGACTCCTTGTCCCGACAAAACCCCCTTTTTATTGAGCTAATGTGAATTCTTCTCATTCACATCCAGCAAAGTCTTTCCAGCAAACAGCCTTTCAAGGGTGAATTTACAACCACAAACAGGGCCGGATTTTCCTATAGGCTAACTAGGCTTCAGCCTAGGGCCTCAAGATCAAGAGCGGCCTACATTCAAATTGTTAGCNTAAGCATTTGTTTCAGGGAGCCCTCATGAATTTCAGCAATCTGAGAAACGCATAGGTGGTATGTTCATATATTGCATTTTTTATGTGCTCAAAGGCAAACAATTGAAGGCCATCCTTAAAAAGCCTACTAGGTTGAAAGGTTCCAAATAAATCTCTGAAATTCAAAGTTGTTATACCTCTGCAAGAATGAAACATTAAAATAAACATATTTGCTACCAGAAAATGTAAGTATTTGGGAAATAGATTTGTAATATGCTTCTAAAATGTTTGCTTGGCAATTTATGTGGTGAAATAGAATTTCTTTTTAAAAAAAATTAAGGGAATACTTTAGCAATACAGGAGGCCTTGAGGACTTTTATGAGAATAAAATATATGTTATGAGCCAACTAATCTTTACAATTCTACTTGTTGCTGACTAAATTAAGCTGTAAATCAACCTCCTTGGATGATGTCTGAGTAGGAAAGGTGATGTCGGAGCAATTTTTGCATCAAGAGCAAGCATGATAAATTAAAATGCTCTGCTGCCTGAAGAAAAGATGAACAAATTAAACAGCAGAAAAGTATGTTCTTAAAGAATGATAAAATCAGAATTGGAAATAGATGTGAAGGTTATTAATTGAACGAATTTGAGTGGAGAAAATGCACAACTAGGTAATTCATAAGATACGAATATCTACCTCCAGCAATGGTACCTCTTCCTTGTAATAGCTAGCATATAAAATAACAATAGCACTTAGATTATATACCGCTTCATAGTGCTTTACAGCCCTCTGTAAGTGGTTTACATAGTCAGCATATTTCCCCCAACAATCTGGGTCCTCAGTTTACTGACCTTAGAAGGAAGGAAGGCTGAGTCAACCTTGAGCCTGGGGAGATTTGAATTGGCAAATTGCAAGCAACCAGCAGTCCGCAGAAATACCCTACAGTACCACACTCTAACCACTGTGCCAGCACGGTTCTTAAAAATGTTATTTTTTTTAAAGAATTCTTTAAAATTCCTCCAGGCATCAAAGGTATCTTGAAACAGATCTGGATCATAGAAGGAAAAGGACACAGGCACTTGTCCTCCCAATTTTGTTGATAGCCCATCCTATTGTGGGAAAAATGTCCACTTTCAATGGGGAGCAAAAGCAATAGACTAGACTAGACTAGACTAGACTAGANTTTAAGAGATGTCCCAAAGGTGCTTTTTTTTTTCCAAGAGGCAACTGGACTTCAGAGCTGAAGAAGCTTCTTGGATAAGAAGTGAAACATCTTCAAAGAAAAAACAAGAAATTCCAGTTGCCTCTTGAAAAAAAGCACCTTTGGGACAACCATGACCTGGATGATTGAGAATCTCCATAGGTGTTTAAGAGATGTGTTATTTTGCTGCTCAAAGTGGAGCAGCTTGCTTTTCTGCTCTACCTAGTTCTTTTTCTTGGAGCACTTGATTGGCACAATGGGATTTTGACATTCACATGCCACAGTTGGCTGGATCTATCCTGGGCTAATTCTAAGCCACTTGGAATTAATTGAATGGATCCATTAAAACCCTTTATGGGGTTCCCTGCAGCACACCCACCCCATCTCCCTCCACATACACACATATATACACACCCATGTCCTAATTAAGCGTGTGTTAGGAACTGGGCTTTTCACAATCACTTTGAAAGAGAAACAGAGACAATTTAATCCCATCCAATTACTCTTCATCAGTCAATGTAGATTGTTTTCTTTACCAGCAAAGGCTGTACTGTTGAAACTGGTTCAGCAAGCTTTCAGGGTGGTGTGGCTTGAATGGGAAAATCTGCTACAGGTGACATTTCTCCCATGGAGGAGGTTGAATATAATGACATTTTGTTCAGGAGTCCGATAGTCCTTAATCCATTTCTTGCAGAGCGGAGGGAGACATTTCATTCTGCCGTTCATTGGAAATCTCAGAATTTATACAGGTAGTCCTGGATTCACAACCACAATTGGGAGCAGAATTACCTGTTTTTTAGCCATTTTTAATTACAATTTACTTACTATAATTTTAAATGAAAAATCCATTTAAATTTCAAATGGCAATTTATTCGTCTCACTCAAAAGTGACTCTGAGGGGCATATAACACCTACATTTTGGGAATAAGATTTGCAGTAAAATTTATTCTAAGATTTTGTATCCAGGACTGTGGTTTTGATTCTCTATCAAAATGAGATTTATTATTTGGGTAACACCTGCATTAATATAGTAATAGATGGGTGAATGTTATGCTACATGATTTTATTTTGCTAGTATATTATCTTATTTATTTGTACATTCTGTTTTTATTCTTTAAAATTTCACTGGTCTTTGACCAAATAAATATTAGTGATCAATTGATTTCTATCCAAATACCCAATGCTTTCATTTAAAAACTTGTATGGACTTCCATCCTCCAAAATTGACTAATGGGCACATAGTAATTTNCAGTCAGCTGAAGTAGCCTGCAGTACTGCACCCTAACCACTGCGCCACCATTGTTGGAAAGATACTTTCCAACAATCAAGTAATTGGGAATTTCAAAAATAGCTAAAATATCTGATCTAAACTGAGAAATAAAAAATGCTTGAACTGAATATGTTTAGACCACCCCAAGTGTTTTTACACAGAATCAGGTTAATTAAATAATAATATCAGGGTTCCAAGTAACACCCCAAACAATATGCTGCACTAGAATGTTATTAACTTTTTTGGACAAGTATTAAAACACAACAACAGCCACTTTTACATTCAGTTGTCTCAGTGTATCAGTTTTTCACATAAAAAGAGATAGAATTTCAGCTTATGCTTAAGAATTTTCCAAGTATATCTTGCAATCTTTTGCAAAAAGAACAGTATCTCCTGCCCTCTGCTTCATTGTAGAGTTTTTCTAGGATTAATCAGATTTTACTGTATGAAAAGTGAAATACAAACACTTAATGACCATCCTATAATACTGTACATTGTCTTCCATGCAATGCTGGGTCTGGGGCCATAGCCCCTCTCCCAAAATATTTAATACATGCTCCTTGTTGTATTAATAATTGCATTAGAATATATTATCAAGAATTTAGAAGTAGTTTAATAAGGAAATATTTAAAAACTTAATAAAATATGGGTAAGTTAGAAGGATGGACTTTTAAACAATTAGTTTTCAAATATCTCCTAATACATATGTTTGTTCACCAGAACAATCCTCCTCTGAAATCTCGCAGCTTCTCTCTCGCCTCTCAAGGAAGTGGCTCTCCTGGTATGCAGAGAAGACCCAGCCAAAATGCAGCTTCCTTTTTCAGTGTTGGCCATCACAAGTTGCCAGCTGGGAAGAGAATTCCCATTCTGCAGCCAGATCACTTAATTGATGTACGAGAGGTTGGTATGGATCTTCATTTTTTCTTGATTCCCTTGGAAGAATGGTTTGTCTTTAGAAGGTGAATAGCCAACTGTGCCTTCTTAAAATCCACTGGGGCCCTCTTGGTTTTGAGAACTTATTGAAGCTTGCACTTCTTTATATAATATGCATTGATATCTTAAGAAAAAACACATTCTCATAGTTCTTATTCAGATTGGAATATCACATGATATGCACAGATACAACACAGGTCCTCTTAGGTTGAATATTTCTATTTGCGTACTGTAGTTGCATGTTAAAAAAGTGCACATTTCCCTCTATGTCTATGACATTCTTTTGCTAGTACTATTACTAATAAATTAAATTTATATGCAGCCCATCTTCCAGCAATTTGGTTGGTTGTTGAAACATACCAAGAAATATTTAATATTTAAAATATATTAAGAAATATTTTGCCTACTATTTGCTTATTTAGAAGCTGCTTTCTTGCAATATTTTTTTTCTAAAACGATACTGTTAATAAAACATTTGAACTAGTGACTTGACAAAAATCTGTAGCACAGGCTTGAATGGCCTACTAACTATTTTGTACATCTTGTATATCAGCTTACATTAGTTAGATATTGCTTTTCATTATATCTTGAGTTACTGTTGTAACTGACTTGGGCAGTTTGTAAAGGAGTGTTTCTAATGCTTATTTGTTGTTGCATTAAAACAAATTTTGACTTGTGAGAACTAAAGGATTAATGTATAAAACATCAAATGCATGTAATTTTGGACAGTGCTGTATGCAAACTAAAAACTAAAGTTGTGAGAATTCTGCAACCCTGCATTTAGTTTTCCTTTTTCATTGTAGATATTAGTTAACAATGGGTGAAAGTCAGGTACAGTGTAGTCACTATGTTTCTTGATTTCGTAGGCCTAGATAGGAGCCAAAAAATATCCAGTTGACCTCATCTAGTCTTTTCTTTTTCTCTTCTTTGGCCCAATGACTTTTCTCATTGTCCTTCTATACATCTCATCTGCCATTCTTTTTCAGCATGATCTTTGTATGCCTTTACATCTCAACATTGCTAAATGCTGTCATTACTTAATGTACTAGAACTTGGCAGTAGAATTAGAAGCAGAATCCAAATACTGATTGAAAGCTGACTGGGATTAATATTTGATTCAGCATGGATGGAAAATGAACTTATTTGGCATTGTAAAAGACTTTAAGAAGGGGAGAAAAAGAGTATGTAAACCGGGTGTAAAAGAACACAAAATCTTCTATTTCCATGAAAGCTAATATCAAACGCAGCCAGAAACGTTCAGTGGACTCTTCTATAATCAAATACTTTTAAGATCTAGTGAAAAAGTGTAAATATTAAACGTAAAGGTTTCCCTTGCATATATATGCTAGTCGTTCCCGAGTCTAGGGGGCAGTGCTCATCTTTGTTTCAAAGCCGAAGAGCCAGCACTGTCTGAAGACGTCTCCGTGGTCATGTGGCCAGCATGACTAAATGCCAAAGGCACACAGAACGCTGTTACCTTCCCACCAAAGGTGGTCCCTTTTTTTTCTACTTGCATTTTTACATGTTTCAAACTGCTAGGTTGGCAGAAGCTGGACAAGTAACAGGAGTTCACTCCGTTACGTGGTGCTAGGGATTTGAACCGCAAACTGCCAACCTTTCTGCTCAACAAGTTCAGCCAGCCTCTTAGCCATTGAGCCACCGCATCCCTCGCGTCTAATTATTGGAGGTTATCAAATGTAGAACATTACTCATTTATTTTTTCTTATAGCTCTGCAATGAAGGCAAACTTTAAGAATCATGTTTGAGAACTCTCAGAAAGTTGAAGACAAACTAATGAGAATATGCATATATGATGCCGGGATATAAGAGTGGGAAAACAACAATCCTGAGTTCTGAAAAAATTGTTGGCATTAGCATTTCTAATAGGCTGTGTTGGAGTCCTGCTTCTTTTATTGATTTGGAGTTGATTCAAACCCTTGGTTTCTCAGATACAAGAGATAATATATTCATACATACCTAATATTGAAGTAATACACAAAGTACTTATGCTGGATTTTGACTATGTAGCAAAATTCTAGATGCCCTTACTTCTTTAAAGTGTTATTTTTTCCACTTGAATGAATTTATCTCTTTCAGAAAGAAACAAACTACCTATCACATTTTCAGAAAATGCCTTCCTTTGAAATGGGAAATAAATTCAAATGCAAAATATAAGATAATTATAATTAATTTATATACAATATCCAGTATAAAATCTGAGAACTTGTTAGAACTTTGAAATCTTAGGTAAGAATCAAAGACCAAGGAAGTATATTATACTGAGAAGCAGTGAACTTGGATGCTGATCACTGAGGCTAAGCAATTGAATAGTTTTGGATTAAAAAAACTGACTCTTCTCTTTGTTATCAATTCTTATTCATAAGTATGAAGACTAGCAAATAAGTTGTCAGTTATTGTAGTGATGCCTATTTCTTTGCTAGAGAGTAAATTACAGAATTTTACAACCCTTGTAAGGAACAGTCACCTTTGACTAAACTATAAGGAATGCTATTTTCATAAAATGCCATTTTGACCAAGGACATGTTTTAAGTTTTTTAAAAAAAAGGTTTTACTGAAGTTTCATGTTAACGACATTGTAAAACCTTTGTGCCTTGATTAACTGCAGAAGATGTCTCAAGCTGAAGGACAGCAGAGAGATTTGGTAAGAAGTATTGAATGCCTTCCTGCCTCCGGTCATCTTTCCTCCTTAGACCAAGACCTACTGATGCTCAAGGCAACCTCCATGGCAACAATGAATTGTTTAAATGATTGTTTTCACATTCTCCAGCTGCAGCATGCATCGCAACAAAAGGGATCCTTATCTACTGGTGAGTTATTCTCTTTGCTCTGTTTAAATAAAAAGGTTAAAAACAGAAGTTGTGCATTTCATTTTATTTTTCTAAAAACTTCTAAGCCAGGGGTGTCAAACTCAAAGCCCGGGGGGTTGAATCCGGCCCATAGGGTACTTAGATCTGGCCCACAAGGCCGCCCTAGAAATAGCAAAGGACTAGCCTCCAGTGCCTCTGCCAGCAAAAATGGAGCTAGGAGGGCTGCCTGTGGCCCTCAGGAGCTCTGATTTCACTGGCAGAGGGTTGCAGGAGGCTGTCGCAGCTTAAAACAAAGCTCTGGAGGCTGTTTTCTCTGACAGAGCACTCGGGCCACCACAGATGCCCCTGACACAAGTGACATGTTTAAATGTTTATTGCATTTGTATGCCGCCCTATCCCGAGAGACTCAGGGTGGCTAACAAGCAAGGTGGGGAGGGGAATACAAACAAAAGACAAAACAAGCAAGTTAAAACAGAGCAACAGTCACAACAGTTTAAGTGGGGCCAGGAACTCATCAGCCCCAGACCTGCCGGAACAGCCAAGTCTTAGTGGCTTTGCGGAAAGCCAGAAGGGTGGTGAGGGTCCGGATCTCCATGGGGAGATCGTTCCAAAGGGCCGGAGCAGCCACAGAGAAGGCCCTCCCCCGAGGGGTCGACAGTCGACATTGGCTAGCAGATGGTATTCGGAGGAGGCCTAATCTGTGGGATCTAATTGGTCGTAGGGAGGTGATTGGCAGGAGCTGGCAACGCCCATCCCTGCCACGCCTCCCTTGCCCCCTGAGGTCAAACACAATCCTGACGTGGCCCTCAATGAAATCGAGTTTGACACCCCTGCTCTGAGCAACACACTAGGTTGGATTCATTGTGGAAATTTACTCTCAGTGTCATTTGGACTTGTATTTGGAGAGAATTTCTGTTTCAGACAGTATTTATAAAGAGCAGTACTGATAATACAAAAATACGTGCCTTAAATTAATTGTTTAAGCAGTCATTGCTGTAATAGCTGTAATATTTTTTAAATCTCTGTTCTGTAATTTGTCTCTGACTTTATGGTCGAAGTTTTGCATATACTGCCTATTCCTAAAAACAGATCACATTAAATCATGTCAGATCACACTAGAATTACCATTTACACAAACATATTTTAAATGAATGGGGAAAAATTCCTGAAGCAGAATTTATTTAGCAGACCCATTAGTCTCATTGATTGCATAAAGTACTCTTCATAGTAGGCATATTTTCAACTGCTAAACTTGCTGTTTCCTCAAGTAAAGCCTGTCAAACAAGGATGAGACATGTTTTAGCAGTTCACTAGGATTTGATAACTTAGAAATTATCCACTCTCTCTTGTGACATTTTGTTTTCTAATAGGCTTATGTAAAGGGTGAGGAGCCAATGACTCATAATTCAGTTACACAATTTTGTTCAGAATCCTCTAGTATTTTTGAGCCATGAATTGAATTTGTGATTCCAAGGTTGACTTCCAGGGGGATAAAATTCTGAATTCTGCATCCTTAAGTGAAAAGGCCTTGTAAGAGATAATACGGAACATGTTCAAAGCTGCAGCCTTTACTTGAAGTCCACCCATTGCCCCCTAGTGGGGAATGGTGTACTTCCTTAAGTATAATTATTGACATGTCTATCTCTGAAGTCCTTGTAGCACAATAAGTCATCCTTAGTATCTGCACCTGACTCTCTGACACCATGGAAGAAGAATTATCTGTATCTTTTCAACCAGGGTTCAGACTGAGTATGGGACAACAAGCCCATTGATAGCACTGCTGGATAATCTAGATAAGGGTACTTTACTTTACTTTACTTTACTTTACTTTACTTTACTTTAACTTTAACTTTAACTTTAACTTTAACTTTAACTTTAACTTTACTTTACTAACTGTAACTTTACTTTACTTTACTTTATTGTCATTGTACGTATATACACAGTTTACACATACAACGAAATTCACATAACACCCAGAGACCAGGCCCAACACATATAACAATCCCCAAACACACACAACAATCCTCAAAAATACACACACACACACACCAAAAACATTCCCCACCTCTAAACCACCCAAACATCCACACAACAGACCAAGTAGTGCTGTCCAATAGCTCACTGATGGTGGCCGTTTAGTTCATTGTTGAGTGCAATTATAGCTCTGGGATAATAGCTATTCAGAAGACATGTGGCCCCAGTTTTATTTGTTCTGTATCTTCTGCCAGAAGGCAACAGTCTAAAAAGATTGTAAGTGGGATGGGAAGAGTCTCTCAGAATGTTATGCAACTTCCTTAAACAGCGAGATGCAACGATGGCTGGTAGCTGGAGCCCAGTGATATTCTGGGCAGTTTTAATGATTCCCTGTAGAGCTTTTTTGTCCGCTGCAGAGCTGCTCCCATACCATGCAAGAATGTCGTATGTCAGGATATTCTTCCTGGTCCTCTCAGAGATTTTCTATGATTTCTGATTTTATCAACCATGATATTCATTAGGACTAACTGCACAGGAGCTGTGCTTCTGTTTCTTCCTCAATGATGGTTTTAATCAGCAGTACTCCATGAAAAATGGTCTTCTGGTGGTTGCTCCAGTGCAGGATGCTACAGGGTTCTTCTCTCACCCCTTTGCTGCTTTACATTTACAGGAAGCTACCGAGAGAAACCATATATCAGTGTGGGATGAATTGATCTTAGTTGCACTGATGATACCCAAATATATTTTGACACTCCCAGCTAAATCCATGATGAAGTGGAGGTCCTTGCTTAGTCCCTGGGGCTGTAAGGATTTGGATGGGAAAAGTTTAATCCCAGCAAGGCTTGAATTTCTATTTATCCTTAAACCATTTGGCGCTCTATTCCAGTGGTAACTGGGGAAGAGTAGCAGTCCTACTGAAGGACTAGTCTGCAACTTGGGAGGCCTCGTAGGTTCACTATTATTGCTAGACAGATAGGTAGAAGCTGTAGCTAGGAGTCCTTGGCTAGTATGTCAGTTGCATCGTTTGGCAACAGTGATCAATGTCTTTGGTGCCTTTGGATTAGATTTGTGAAATTCACTCTAAGCATGGCTACCCTTGAAAATTACTCAGACCCGGCAGTTGGTTGGTCTATAATGCTTCTGCCCACTAGGTGAGTGAGAGCCATGTATGCCCAAAAATTGGTATTTGCTGTAAATCACCACAAGATCCAGGAGAAAGCAAAACCATCCTGCTTCTCTGCATGGATGCGTCTGCTATGAAAACAATCATCCACTGGAAATTCTTAGAGCATCCTTGTTTGAAAATCCTTAAAAACCGAGCTATGTAGAAACACATTCAGTGTATCTATTACTATTCTTACCTTTGATTGTAGTAATTTATGAAAAGCTTTGATAATTTTAAGGAATATTTCTGTATTACTGTTTTAATTATATGTTGTGGGGTGTTACACAGTGCTGGAAATCAACATATGGTATAGTGGTATTTAAGATAAATATTTTTAAAATGTATCCTTCAAGAGGTTGGCCTTCAACAGAATGGGGTAGTATAAAGCTTTGCCTATATAGTCTTGTACTTGTTGGGACTAGAATATCAAAGCATGAGTAGCTTATTTATAACTGATTTTGCTTTTTCCTCTAAGTGGGTAAAAGTATGTTACCTGTCTGGCTTTAAGTCATATAATAAAGACCATTATGCAAACCAGGCATCATGGCTTATTCAGCTAATAGTAGTTAAACCAACCATGACTTAATGCAATCTGTAAACCAGGCCATAATTAGCCTGGGATGGTTTTAGGGTCCCAGTTCTCTGAAGATGTTCCTTTTTAAAGAAAACATTTAATTTATACAACTGAACACACTTGAATTTGTGTCTGTTTTTTATGCTTTAGAAGTTTTTAATATGCCTATGTAAAAATAAAAGAATTAAAGCAATGCCCACCATATAGAAATATGATTATTATGCAAAGTAGTAAGTGTAAAGATTTACATGCAAAGTATGACATACACACTCCTCCAATATTTAGGAGTCCTGAGAGACTTCACTGCATTTGGCTTGAAGTTTAAGTACTGTATATAAAATATGTTCAGTCTATCCAGATAACTACCACTGTAAAGTGCATTTTTTCAAGTTGCTTTTGGTGTGTGTGAATAAGCTGATAAATCCAGGACTATCAGCTGAAGATGTACCAGGGTATCAGTAGTGTCTGAATCCAGATATTCCTTTATTCAAGTTTATGTATATGCTTCTTTTTAACAGGACTTTATTAGTTTTTGCAAACACTAGCATTTGAGAACAGAATGGAACATTTTCATTATTGATAAGGAAATGTATCCATTCAGGAAGACTGAGGGGGTGGAGAGGTAATTGGAGATACCAGCATCATTGCATAGTTTTTATTTTCAAGCAGCTGTAATTTATATAACAGAGCAGACCATGGTGACATTCTTTTTAACTTAAACTTGCATTGTTCAATTTTGGTTAAATTTCCTTCTCCCGATTTTAATGGAATGCCTACAATGTTGATTCAGCAACCTGTCTTAACAATATTATATAACAATCTAGTCTTACTGGGTTCTTTATCTAGTGTCTGATTACATCTTTCATAACCCCATCTCCTTCTAGTCGGGAACATGTTCTGTGTCATCATTGCCCAGTCATAAGTCTCATTCTAATGAGAAGAAAATGAGAAGGTGGTGCTATTTTGCATCCACCTGCTTTCTTATTGCTGCAGAGCAAGTTTTTAGTTGCCTCTAGTGTTTTGGAACACAGGGTGTGACACTGTTGAATGGCAGAAGCAATTTTAGGAAAAGCTTCAATTCCTCAGATATGAGCAAATTTCAGCGTAAGGTCTCTCTTCCTTCAGGAACAACAATCAGCTGGTTGGAACCAAAGATTTCTTTGCCAAATCACTTCAAAAATGGAGCTGATCAGAGTTTCCCTGCAGATCAAACGAAGCCAGAATCAGTCAGACTGGAACAGTCCAGTTCCGAATCTGGTCAGCTAACCAGGGTAAGCTTTAAAACCCTTAACTCTGCATTGTGGTTTTGTTTTTTCATGTTTGTTTTAAAGAAAAGGAATATTTTGGAATATTCAACTATAGTTAGATTTCTCAAGAAAAGAACAGACTCTGCTTGACTAGAGTTTAAACTTAAAATAAGTATTGTTTCTTACTTTTTACTGTTCTTTTAAGCAATAAATGTTGCTGAATATTGGGATAAGTGAACATTAGTGAAACCTTAATTACTGTAGCTATATATTGTTTTAAAGTAATATGTGGGTTAAACCTGAAAACTTTCAAGGAATGCAAATCAAGAACTTCCAGAGGAATTTAACAGTAATTTGCTTTGCTTGACCTAAGTAAAGGGATATTTTGTAATATTAATGAACTTGGGAGATCACATTCCATCACTACATTTTTACTAAAGGCAAATTGAAAGGATGTCCTAAAATACTAGGTGGTTCTAAAATGCTAGGTTATTGAGGCAACTATATATACAGTAGATGGAGATAAACTTTTTTGGTATGGCTGTTTATTGCAGGAATTGTTTTGGGAAGCTCCCTAGGAGTAAACTTTATATAGCAAGGGAGGTTATTATTCCTTCCTTTCTCTATTGCTAGACATAAATCAGTGGAGCTCTTAATAGACTAACAGGCATAGTGGATATTAATGATCTTGCTCAACAAATGCCAGCACTTGAAGGGAGATAGTGCGGCAGTTTCCATTTTAATAGCTGCTGTTTATATATCTTTTTTTCTTCATTTTTGCTTGTTTCTGCTTGTGATATAATATAATCCAGGAAATGGTCACCCTCTGTGGCCCTTTCTTGCTCACAGCATTTGCAACCACTAGAAGAGTTGCACTGGAAAAGACTTGATGTCCAGCTTCTCCTTCAGTGAAGGAGAATTCTCCACACCCAAACATTCCTAACTTATGAGCATAACAGAGTTGAGAATGCAGCTTCAGATGATAATATAGCTGTAGTAAGCATTTCAAAGAGAAGGGGGAGTAAAAGTATACTATAAGTAAATAATAAAAGTTAGATAAATTATTGTGGGCAGATGAAAGTAGAGGATTTATTGTATTAATTTTGTAGCTGCTATTAGTTCCTTGTAGCTTTCTTCTCTTCAGGCTCTCTTCTGGCTATTATTTCTCCTTTTTATCCCATATAAGACGGTTGCTAGAGTACAGAAATAACTAAGGAGCATTTCTTTCAGCCTACTTAGTTGCTCCATTTCTGCTTTCTTCTCTTGGCAAAGATGGGGTGGTTGTGATTCTATTCCATGGAAAGGCAACAAATGGCTATATATTCCTCTTTGCACTTGGTTTATGAGGACAAAAGCTCCAGGAACGCTATTATGTTGTTTTAACGATTCAGTCATGTCCAAATCTCGGCGACTTTATAGGCAAGTGATCTCCGTGCTACCCTGTCAAGCATAGCTTCTTTCAGTTGTTGGATGTTCATTTTTGTATCAGCTTTGATGTTATCAGGCCAGTGTGTTCTTTGCTTGCCCTTCTTCTTGTTCCACTTACCCATTCCCAGCATTGTTGAATTCTCCGATGAAGTGGCACGCAAGACATGGCCAAAGTAAATCAGACGCCGTCTTGTGATTTTGGGAGTTTTCTTTAGCCAGGCTGAAATAATTATCAGCTCTCCACTTCAGATGGCTGAGAAGGCATCTGGATAGCTGTTGCAGTAATAGAAGTATCCAATGACATCTGCACATGGACCGTGGCCTTAGGAAACGTCACATTTGTCTGGTGACAAATGACATGCAGAAGTGAAACCAAGCCACATGTTATATAAACGCAAGGAAAAAAATAATGAGCTTGAATTGTGGAAAAAATTCTGATAACCTAGTACAGTGTTTTTCAACCTTTTTTTGTGCAAAGGCACACTTTTTCATGAAAAAAATCACGAGGCACACCACCATTAGAAAATGTTAAAAATTTTTAACTCTGTGCCGATATTGACTATATATAAAGTAATTTTCCCACGGCACACCTTACACTATGTCACGGCACACTAGTGAGCCGCGGCACAGTGGTTGAAAAACACTGACCTAGTAGAATGGTAAAGTGATAGAATCTAAACGTTTGTGTGTTTGTTGGGAGAGTGTAAAGAGAACAGCAGGGAAAAGAAATAGAAAGAGATACTTCACCTACAGCAACAGCTCCCTCTGGAAGGCATGACATCTAGATAAAAATAGGCTGCTTTCTTCTATGGGTATCTGTGCAGAAGAGATTTAATTATTGTTTGCTGCAAAGATTATTTGATGCAAATTCCATATTGTAACATAATTTAATATGTGAGTTGGTTGCATTGCCAGTACTAAAAAAACCCAAACCATTATAGGACCTTATTATAGTGTAAAGCCTCATCTGTAGGTAGGCTAAGAGAAGGAGAATGTATACATATGGCGCTTGATATCATTCGTTGTTTAAATAAAGAAACATTGTTTCTAGGATTTAAAAAGTTGCCTATACTGAGTTAGAGCAACAAATAGTTTGGAATACTAAAGTATTTTAAATACCTTATGGTTTTTTTGGAATTTATCCCAGGAACCAGAGGAAATAAATCCAGAAGATGAGTTGGAAGACACATGTGAGAATAAAGAAGATGACCTTGGAGCTGTGGAAGAACAGCGCAGTGTTATCTTGCACCTTCTTTCTCAACTCAAACTTGGCATGGACTTAACAAGAGTAAGTTACTAAATACTGATCTGTATTAAAAGCAGAGAAATGTGCTCCTATAAACTGTAATTCGTCCTAGCCATGCCATGTTATAGTTCATTCAGAGAACTGACTTAGGATTCAACCATCATATTAAAATCATTACCTCAAACTTGATGTTTAGGATTTGCCCATTAATGGATCTGAAACGAGCTGCTTGCTCTATTTTCAAAACCTATTTAGGTTTGTGAGTTTTTAAGACATGTTCAGCTTTGGTTGCTCTTATGAAATACTGAGCAAAAGGTATCAAAACTAACACTTGTGGCCCTTGCCATTAGCAAAGAATGCTGGGAGTTGCATGGATATTACACAGGCTGATAACCTTCTCTATTTTTCAAAAAAAGTGAAAGCATCAATTGATTAAGTTGCATGGGTTCATGAGGTGATTTCAGAGACATACGAAAAAATGTGACTTAGAAAGTAAGTAGAGTAAATGGCAAAGAATATGAATTCAGGAATGAAAGGGGGGGCGGGAGAAAGATATGCTGTGTGTCTGTGATACTGAAAGAAAACTGTAATAGAATGAAAATGGCCTAGTGTTGTGGAGTAGAGTTGATGAATAGATGCAGGAGGTCATGCTTTAAGATTAACTATGAACAAAAGGACTAGGATGTATGTCAGAAAGTATGAATTAGTGTCATCTAGATTGTGTGAGTGCCTATGACAATAGGAGTCCATGGGTTGTAATAGTTGCATAATGTTTTGCCTGTGTGAAAAGTAGTGAATGAAAAAGCATGATTGACTTGATTCCTAATGAAAGATTCTGAGAATGTAAGTCAGAAAAACTTGTATTTTTTGCTTATTAATGAAAATACAGCAGGATAAACAAGATAAATAAAATGAAACTTAAAGAGATTCATATATAGATATAAATTCACATATACTTTGTTTTTTTCTTTAACATGCTATAAATCAAAACAGATCTTACTAGTTTTATAGCCTAAAGACATCTTAGAAGTCAACAAACCAAATAGCACATTTTCTAAATCCAGTCTTAATATGTGGGATGTCATTTTCTTTTTATCTTCAGAAAATTTTTGTCTTGGGGGTGGAAATTGATATAGGAGAAAAAGAAAGACGTGAAAGAAAAAAGAGTGAAAGTAAATTAACTGCAGGAAGAGAAAGTACTAGGGCTGTATAAAAAAAATTAAAAGGTAGATTATTCTCTCAAGAATAAGGAAATAAGGAAAAAACATGAAAGCTGCTTGGAAAAGAATGAAAGGAATTTTGTTTCGGCATCTCACAGAAATGTGTGAAGTTATGCTAATGAGAAGTAACAAAAAGAATGGTTGATGGAGCAAGAAGCTGAAAGAGACTGTTGATGAGAAAAATACACATGAGAGAATGAAGGCTGAAAGTGTGAGAGTGTGAGATTTGCTGTATAATGTGCATAAAACAAAAATAGTTCCTGAGAATTGGATTAGAGCAAGTCTTGATTAAAATTAAAAGAGGATGGAAATTAAAAACGTTGATGAGAATTAAAAAAATAGTTTGCAGATGTGTGGAAAAGGACTTAAAAAGGGATCCCCCAGCAAAGCTAATGGAATGGAATAAAAAATGAAATTATTTGGGATGAAACTGAAATGCAAAATCCAAAAAGAGATTGATAAAGAAGTGAAAGAAATATATATCCCAAGAATGAAATTGAAATAAATGCTGGAAAAACCTTAGGGTCCAAAAAAAGAATTTTTAAAAAATGCTCCAATGCTGCAACATTGCTATCTTTAAAAATAGCAATGTTGCAGATGTAGATGGCATAACTGGAAACATGTTAATATGTTGATATGATTTTGTGAGTTTTCTAGTATGTGTATGCATGTACACATGTGTGTACATTTGTAACTGTTGATGGGAAGACTGAAGTGGTTCTTTTCCCTCTATAAAAAAAGAATGCAAAAACAACAACAACAGAGCAATTAGTTTATTAACTCTGCCTGGAAAGCCGTTCGGCAGAATTTTGATTGACACTAAGTGAAATAAGTTCAGTGTGGCTTTGTGCCAGGCAAAGAGTGTGTGATTTGATTTTCAACAAGTCCTTGTTAAACATGAATGTGAGAAAGTAAGTTTATTGTATGTTGGTCAACTTAGATTGGTTGCTGAATGCAACAAAAGCCGTATGTGATGATGAAAGCAAAGCAGGTGTGAGACTAAATTGTAAAGTTAATGAACAGTTCAGTGTAGAACAGGAAATGAGACAAGGATTTGTGATGTCCCCTTGTCTACATAGATGCACATCTGTATAGCCAATGTTGGAAGTGATTTGGAAGTTTGTATATACAAGTGATAACATGTTTCTTTTAGAAGAATCCAAATGATCTTCAGTGAACTTAAAAATGGATGATGGGGTGAACATTGTGGGTTTGCAAGTTAATGTATCAAGACTGAAGTAGTTGTGTTTGATGGGGAAAATTGAGAGAACAATTGGAAATTATATGTATGTAGTGAAAAAACCAAAGCAGTTTCTTTGTGTGCCTTGGCAGAATATTTCTTAAAGAGGGAAATGTAGCTAAATCAATTTTAAGATGTGAAAAGGCTGGTTGAAAAGCAGTGGGTGTTCCATTGTCAATAAATAACTAAAAATGTGCTATGCTCTGTACGTGAGTTGGGCGTACCAAAAGAAACTTAAAAATATAAGTTGAATACAACAGGAATGGGTTGCTGAAGAAGCATGTGTGACATAACACAAAGGTGTAGGGTCAAGACTAAATGGGTTTTAAATGAATTTGGATTACAAATGTGATCGTGATCAATGAAATATGTAAAACTTATACAAGCCAGGCCAAAGCAATGATTGCTTACAAGAATAGAGTGCATAAAAAGACATAGTGAACAGTGATAGTTTAAACTTTCCTCCCCCTCCTCCCCCTCCTCCTCCTCCTCCTCCTCAACACTTGGACTTACATACCAGTTCACAGTGCTTTACAGCCTTCTGTACACAATTTACAGAGTCAGCATATTGTTCCCAACAATCTGGGTCCTTGTTTTACCGACCTCAGAAGGATGGAAGGCTGAGTCAACTCCTCCTCTCCCTCCCCTCCCCCTCCCCTTTAAATGTCTTGTGGAAGCATAAAAGCACAATGTATGAGAAAATATCAAAACATTAAAAGCCACAAATGTACAACTGTCATGTATACCATTGTGCCTTCCATTAAAGCCTTTCTCCCACACCCCTTGTTGGCCCTCTAAAAAAAGAAAAGAAAATCAGAAGGTTATTATGCATGTTACTGTAATGTTGTTTTCTTTTATTGTAGGTGGTTCTTCCCACTTTTATTTTAGAGAAGCGTTCTTTGTTGGAAATGTATGCCGATTTCATGTCCCATCCAGATCTGTTCATTTCCATTTCCAATGGCACAAGTCCTGAGGAGAGGATGATCCGTTTTGTTGAGTATTATCTCACTTCCTTTCACGAAGGACGCAAAGGGGCAATTGCCAAAAAACCATACAATCCAATCATCGGGGAAACATTTCACTGTTCATGGAAGATGGGGAAGAGCGATGTACTGAATGCCACTAATAGTAACTCTTCATCTCATTCTGCCTCCGAGCAAGTGCCTGTTTCAGAAGAGAGCCAGACTCAAGAAGAGTCAGACTCTTACACTGTCCGATTTGTCGCAGAACAAGTGTCTCATCATCCTCCGGTCTCAGGGTTCTATGCTGAATGTGTGGAGAGAAAGATGTGCGTTAACGCCCATGTTTGGACAAAAAGTAAATTCCTAGGCATGTCAATAGGAGTAACCATGGTTGGTGAAGGTAAGTGGGAAATGTTGCAGTGCTCCTTACGCTCTTTGGACAGTTGTGATCTACAGCTCTGGAGAGCTTCATTTTAGAAAGAATAGATTATTCATCGACCTGTGGATGGACCTGTGGCATCCTTTGACACAGCCTGTTCCAGTCTAATGACTTCCTAAAGTGTTGGATAACAGGCTGGTAATTATTGGTAGTCCTTGACTTAAGACCACAGTTGAGTCCAAAATTTCTGTTGCTAAGCAGGGCACTTGTTAAGTGAGTTTTGTCTCATTTTATGACCTTTTTGCCACACTTGTTAAGTGAATCATGCGGTCATTAAGTGAATCTGACTTCCCTCTTTGACTTTGCTTGTTGGAAGCCAGTTGGGAAGGTTACAGATGGTGAACACATGACTCCGGGACAGTGCAACGGTCATAAATACAAGCCAGTTGCCAAGCGTCCAAATATCGATCGCTTGATCATGGGGATGCTACAACACGTGTGAAAACTGGCCATAAGTCACTTTTTAAGTGCTGTTGCAATTTCAATCAATAAAAAATGGCTGTACATCGAGGACTACCTATATGGGAGTTAAAGTTGGAAAGAGACCCAGGAGATAATCTAGCATGGTCTCTGCCTAGTATGGGAATAACACTGTAACATCCCTAACAAATGGCCATGCAGCTACTAGTTAAATACTTAAAGTGAGCTTTAAGAATACTTAAATTCTTAAAGTGAAAGAAAGATCGCCACCTGTAAGGCAGTCTGTTGTTTAGTAACTCCTTGAAAGTTCTTCCTCATGACTAGTTGTAATCTGTTGCTGTGTAATTTATACTCATTATTCCTTTTCTATCTACCTGAAAGGCCCCTGAACAAATCTACAATGTCTTTTATGCGACAGCAATTCCTATACTTGAGTACAACTATTATGTCTCCTCACAGTCTTCCCTTCTCCAGAATAAACACATACAATACCTCAACCTCTTAAGTTTTTCCTTCCAGGCCCCTTGTCATCTCCGTTCCAATCCTCTGGACAGACCCTGGTTTGGCAAGGTCAATTCCTAAAATGCAGCACCAAGAACTGAACATGATGTTCCAGATGTCCTCTTAGCAATGTAGAATAGAGAAATGGTGTCCTCTCTTGATTAAATCCTTCTGTTGATGCAGTCTGGGACTGAATTTGCTTCCCCCGCCCCAGCTGTATCACACTATTGTTTGCTTGTAATCCGCCACTTCCTGAACTCACACCTTTCATTTTTTCTTCCCATACAAAAGACTCTTCATTTTTTCTGTGTTGAAATTCACCTTCCTGGATTTTCTCATTGTTCTGGTTTATTAAAGCCCTTCTTATCTTAATACTGCCTTCTGCTATCCTTCCTCATTTTTACCTCACAGGATTTTTTTAATTTACTAATTTCTCCAAGGTATATATATATATATATATATGAGGGCCTAGAATAAAACTCTCTATAAAATTTCTATTTTAGTGATGAATTCCACAGCTACGACAGTAATGAAAAAGTAACTTTACAATCAATCCTCTCATTTATGACCTTTGCAGGCCCATAAACCAAAGGAAAGCTGAAGTAAGATTATAAGCACAGGGGCATTTTTGCTTAGTGAGCATTTCACTTAACAGCGTTGCAGATCTCATTTGTGGCTTCTCTCATTCTGCTAAATGAGAACTACTTGTAATCATTCCATCTTGACATGATTCCTTTTATATATTTTTGTGTGGGTATGATTGTTCTGAATCCAACTTATGCCGGTATTGTCCAGTCTGTATTTTGCCATATTTTCCACTCTGATCTCAAGGGAGGCTCTATTGAATGATTTGCTGAAATTGGGCCATAATGTCTACCTCATTCCTATAGTTAATTTAATTGTTTATTCTATCAAAAAGGGAGAGGGACTGGATTGAGTTATCTCAAAATGCCGGACCCTGCCAAACAATGCATTTTGTTCTTGTCTGGGAAAAACCAGATTTAAAAAAAATGAAATATGAAACACCTTGTAAGGGCAAACAAAGACAATTGCTCTGATAATTAATTGTAATAAAGGCTTCTCTATATCACAAAGGTGTTAGGAGAAATGTTTTGAGAGTTATAACAAGCATAATAGAGCTAGCATATAGGTTTTTGTTTTAGAAGCAAGATGACTTTTAGGTTTCATGATTGAAGAGATAATTAATGTTGCTTCAATCTCCACAGGTTTCCTAATTTCCATATGTGAATTTTTTCTCCAATCAGGTGATCTGTTGTGTGTTTCATCCAGGTTTTTTTCCCTCCATTTTCTTTTGCTTGTACATTTCCATTTATGCCACATTTTAGGTCTGTAAACCCTTTTGGTGAATCTGTAACATTACTTATAAATAATTGGCTTTGATAGTTGATGCTTATCCAGCTCAAGTCTGCCAGTTTTGCTCCACATCTCATGTTTGTAATATGAAGCTATATGGCAATATTTATGACTTTTGTTTTTAATTAGTTTGTTTTTATCCTGTCTTTACTATCACCTCAGAAAAGCGTAAATTTAAGAGAGTGGGAATAATAGAAATCACTGCACAAAAAGCAAGTTGTTCCCCAGATGTACTGGATTACAGAGCTAATAATGTTAACCCACCATAATGGCTAAGAGCAGACCTCGGTGTTCTACGGCCCGTGGTCCACTTCTGATCTCTTATGGCCTGTGGATCACATCCAATCCTGTGGCTGTCCCTGTCTGGGTCACAGTAGTGGCCACGGCAGCCCTATTGGTTTGGCCCGCCACATCAGTCCCAGTTTCCCATGCAGCCTCTTGGGAAAATTATTTGCCCGCCCCTGGCTGAGAAGATTGTGGGGTTTGCTGTTCATCTTGGCACCAGGTTGAGGTGGCCTCACTTTGGAGCTTTCAAACTTTTTCCAGACTTGGAAACTGTTTAAAAAAAAAAAAGTTTCCCAAACCTCTGGTCTAGAGGGGTGGAGTTTCTGAATGTTGGTGACCAGCTCCACTTCTTCTTCTGCATTTTAGTGATTAAAAGGAGGGGGAACCCTCCCTGCAGGGGATTAAGCTTTTTCATAATTTTTTTCTTAATCACATGGAATCTATTCCTTCCAGAACCCGAACGTTTCATGGAATTCAGTTTGAAAAACCCGATTAAAAGTGATCTAATTTTTTTGCATGGAAGAAAAAAAATCTAGAAATGAATTGCTTAATTTATCCCTGTTGGATAAACTGCCCCAACCCTGTTTTTTCTCTCTCTTTACAATGAATATGTTCCCTCAAGTCAAGTTTATCTAGTGGTACAAAGATGAGATTATTTTTGTTTGTGGTCATTTAAGTAATCTTGCATTGCAAAACTGACTGGTAATACAGAATGAGAATGATAGCAAAATGCAGGATCTGCATAGAGGCCCAGCATGAACCTCTGCAACATCTTGGTGATGTAAGGACAGAAGACATGAGTTGCTTTTAGTTAATGTGGATTTCATATTTATTCTTTCCTCCCTCACAGGTACTTTAAGTCTTCTGGAACTTGGAGAGGAATACACGTTCTCCTTGCCTTGTGCATATGCTCGATCAATTTTGACAGTTCCCTGGGTAGAACTGGGAGGGAAAGTCAGTGTTAATTGTGCAAAAACGGGGTATTCTGCAAGTATTACGTTTCATACCAAGCCTTTCTATGGTGGCAAACTTCACCGGCAAGTATTCCTGTTGGCAGGATTTTTTTTTTTAACTGTAGCACTGTGCAGTATTGTCAATAGATTATGTGTGTTTCTGAAATACTCTTGAAATGAGATACTAGAAATTATAGTACTTATGCCTCAATTCATCTTTTTGTTTATGCTGAAGATTTGGAAAATGCATCAAAGTAAGATTTTTGTGAAATACTTTTAAATTTAATTGCAAAGTATTCTTCAATGGCTTGACAAAATTCTACAAATTTTGTCAGAATTAAGTTCCAAGCAAAAACATCCAATAAATGCCCTTGCTTATCTTGTCTCTAAGGCTATAACTACCAAACATGTCTGGATAGGTATTTTCTTAGCTTTTTTTAAAAAAAGAGGAATAATGGTTTTTTTCAACCCTATTGGAAGAACCTTAATGTAGCATCTGGAGCATGTTCATTCAATACAGGTAATCCTCGACGAACAACAGTTCATTTAGTGACTGTTCAAAGTCACAACAGCACTGAAAAAAGTGACTTATGACCATGTTTCACTTTTACGACCATTGCACTATCCCCATGGTCAGGTGATCAAAATTCGGATGCTTGGCAACAAACAAAGTCAATGGGGATGCCCAATTTGCTTAACAACTGTGTTATTAACTTAACAGTTGCAGTGATTCACTCAACAACTGTGGCAAGAAAGATTGTAAAATGGGGCAAAACTCACTTAACAAATGTTCCATTTAGCAACAGAAATTTTAGGCACAATTGTGGTCATAAGTCGAGGACTGCCTGTAACTGGTTTCAGTAGTTTTAGGAATATTTGGAAATGTCTCTTCCCAGTCCTAGCCTGAAAATGCTACAGGTATCCCAAATTACATTCTGCCGTTTTCTGCAGAACCTGATTTTCTAGCAGCCCATGGCCTATCAAGACCGAATCAAGGTTTCTCAAGGGTATTATGACAGGTTTGACAATTGCTGCACTCATCAAATCATAATACCCTCCACATGCCAATGTTGCAGTCAAAGGAAGCTCTTCTTGGCAGTGGTGTCTTCATTTTGGAACATTTCCCCTAGCCACTGAAATAGTGAAATGTCTAGTAATATGCTTAGTATCCCTAGACACTTAGTTTATTACTTAGCAGCATAGAATTAGATTTAATAAGAAAACCAACCACTTGGTTTATTGTTGAACTATGCAAATATACTCACTGTTCCAGTGACTGTGATTCTCCAGAAATCTGTCTTTCAGAAGCAGATTGGTGTATGGTGTTCTGGATGTACGTTTGGTCCTAAGTCATTCTACAGTGACAGGATCATAGTTTGGGAGAAAAACAGAACAATCTAGAGGACACTGGGATGTTCCATACTCAGAATAAGTTTATTGAAATTAGACCCTTCCTTTGCAAGAAATCAAAATATTATAGCAGTTTCACAGCAGCATTTGGAAGTATGAGTATGTCTAGCTCACATTTTCCATAAGGCTTTGGTTTCTTTTTTTCTCTTAGCTATTTTGTTTGTCCTTAGATAGCCAACAGAGATGGAGAAAAAGTGTTTTTTTAAATACTGCTGTAATAGAGAGTGGTATTTTTCAGAACTTTCTCAGGCATTTTATATTCACTATACATTTCACAGGGAATACATTGCTAATGGCCGAAATGCTGCAACATGAATTGCTTCTTTGCTTAAATAACATTTTGTGATTTATTTCTGGCTGTGGTAGTATCATTTAAAATGATTTATACTAATTCACTGTATTATTTGAATAGTATAAGTTCTGTAGAACATTATATAAAATGAATTTAATTGATTGATACGGTAGGTAGAAAAGCAAGATTTCCTTGATCAGTGTATCAGGTTTTTTTTAATCCATTCCAAATTTTACTGTCTATTAGAATGTATACTGAGTATAATATCTCTCTGTAAGAGGAATTTATAGCCTCAGCTAAACACTATACTCTAAGCAAAACTACTGTGTTGGTGGTATATTAAACTGGGCAAAGAACCATCGTTATTTTATTCATTATATTTTTAACATTACTTGATATACCACATGTTTTAACAGTATATTTATTATCTTGTATTGGTGATTATTAATACTAAAACAATTTTATTTATTTTAAAATGCAAAATTCATTTTACATAAAGATCTGTGAACAAAATGCAAAAAGTGAACAGTTTTCATTAGCATCGGAAATGCAAGTTGTTTTTTTTAATAGGGATGTAAAAAAGATTGCTGGCAGTGGCCATTTATAACTGTGCCAAGTTCTGCATTGCGTCTTGTTTATATAGTTGAGCAATATATCATTGTCATCTCCAGGTTATTTTTTATCATATCTTTTTTCCTGCTGCTTTCAGGGTCACGGGTGAGGTGAAGCACAATGCTACTAACACAGTGGTTTGTAAAGTACAAGGTGAATGGAATAGTATTCTTGAGTTCACTTACAGTAATGGAGAAACTAAATGTATGGATTTGTCAAAGTTATCTGTGACACGGAAAAGGGTGCGGCCAATAGAAAAGCAAGGGCCTTTTGAGTCCAGGTGAGAGAAACTGTTTTCGAAATTATCTCTTAAAATGGAACATAATTTCAGACGCCTATAGTATGTAGCTCAGACCATACGATTTCCCTCATTTTCAACTAAAGATCATTATTTGACATTCCAGCGTCTGTACATGTGTTTTGCATGTGTGTTACAACAGGCAAATTATGGCCTGCAAGTAGCTTCCTCCTCAGAATAGATTTGATTTTAGCCTATTGGTTCTGGGAGGAGGGGGTCAACCTTAGCTGCTTTTAAAGAATAAAACTGGAAGTAGTTCATTGTCCAGAGGCTTTTCATTCCCATTCATGAACTTAAAAACTTGAATCTCACCTTCTGAATAGGCTTGGAAAACTGGATCTGCTCCATACTGGGTTGTTACTGTTTTTCTGGTGATGTACCTTCCAGTGTCTAATTGGTTGGAGGAGCAAGATGCAGCTCTTCACCAAGAAAAAGCTGCTTACCCCTATCCCAGGATTGTTCATTAATGCAACTTGTTCATTCAGTGCCATGGTCTGTTTCCAGTTGTATCTAACTTGATATATAATGGCAATAATTTACTCATCTTTATCAAGTGTATCCAGTTGTTAAATATTCAGTTTTCTAAACTTTTTTTAAAAAAGCATATCCATATAGGAAATGCTGGGATGTCTTAAGTGAGTGATAATTTTATTCTAGTACACACTGAAATATAACCAATAGTTGGGCATTTCCTTGTGTCTTTCAATCCCCCTTTATGTAAATCAGAGAAGAATCATCCATTCTCTTAATTGAAAAACTAACCACAGATACAACTGCCACATGTGGCTCCCCAGTGACACCAGTTATTTTTGGAACATGGGGTTTGTGGTGATCTTGAAAAACAATGTTAAATTTGTCATTTTGGGTGGAGGCCTGGGGGGGGGCATAGTTTCTTGGACATTGCAGGAGAACACTGGAAGAAATTACAGATGGGCTGCTTGTTTAGTGCTACTGTGAGATTGCAGGCGTTAGTTGGATAAAACTTTAAAAGGTGACCTTCTAATCCAGTGTTTTCTCAACCTTGGCAACTTTAAGACATGCGGTAGACTTCAACTTGTAGAATTCCCCAGCCAGCATGCCTTAAAGTTGCCTAGGTTGAGAAACATTGTTCTAATCCTTTGCCTTATAATGATCGATTGAGCTAAGATAGGTCTGAGGGGGATAGTTGTAAGATCAGGGGAGCCATTAGCAAAAAAACAAAGGATGAAGCAAGTATTCATTCTGGTTTAGAAGCTCTATTTTTAGACAACAAAGTGTTTCAATGAAGAAGGTGACAATACCAGTTTCCACCCCATGAGATGATAATAAGTGAATTATGAGAATGGGAAAGGGCTGAGTAAAATTTAAAGGGAAGTGAAGAGTAGATAACCCATAGTTTTAACCAAGAAGTAAGAAAAGCTTCTTTAGCAAGAGGGCATGGCAGGACCCGATTGAGAGGCAAAGCAGATCTGGGCAGCTGTTGGAAAGGAGTAACTTATTTTCAGCCTACTAATCATGCTATACTTGAGAACTGACATAGATTTTTTTGGTTCAAATACATTCATGATTCCAGCACCTGAAGGACAGTAAGGGCAGATTCCTGGAGTATTTAGTAGTTTTTGTCACCTCAATCCACCTTTTTACATTCATTCTGGTTATATTTGCATTTAGCAAAGGTGGCAAACAGCCTCAGCTTGCATTCCCTTCCTCCCTGTCAAATTCAGGAAACTCTGGCAACATGTGACGGAGTCCTTGAGGCAAGGGGACATTGAAAAGGCCACCGAGCATAAGAAAGCCCTTGAAGAACAGCAGCGAAATGAGGAGAGGCTCCGGATGGAGACAGGCACCCCTTGGCAGACGAAACACTTCGTTAAGGATGTAAGTAATGAAACATAAACAGAAGAGTGGAAAGGTGAACCTTCAAGCCCCAAATAGGGCCATTGCTGCATGCTTAGCTTTGAAATACCATGGAGGCCTCAAACACTGGTTCCCCTGTATGAGTTTCAAGGCCTGCAGCAGACATGAGGGTATCTTCCCAGGAGGGCATTTTCTCGTGCCTACTTTTTATTTTTTGGCATTGCACACAGTTGTTATCTAAACAGAAGAGCAATGCAAGATAAGTTCCTTCGTCCATAGATATGAAATGGAAACTCCTCAGCCAGTGCCCTGGCTGGCTTCTTCAGATATATTCAGGTCCCCTTACACTTTTTTCTCTCTGCTCTGGACATGTTTGCATGTGCAAAGGAAGCTGAGAAGAGATACGATGGCAGTGAGTGGGCTGCAAGCATTGGTCTCTCTTGTTCTGCTTCTATTCCTCTCCCCCCACCGCCCCAAATATATTTTTCCTAGCCCCAATACAGATTCACACCTCTTCTCTTCGTTTTACAAGTTTTCAGATGTAGCTTTGGTTCGACTTCTTTGTAGAATCATCAGAGTTGAAAGGAGGAGGTGGGGCAGTTCCATCAGCAATCCTCTGTCCAATGTAGGGATCTGTTTTAAAGGCTTGTGCCGAGAGATAGTTGGGCACATACTTCAGAGGGAAGCTTAGTAAGTTTTTCTGGCTCCTCCTGAACTGAAATCCACTTGTTACAAGGCTATTATTCCACTCTAGACATTAGAGAAGTGGTCATGGCTTTCCTCCAAGCAATCACACGTCAGGTGGTGAAGTGTGATCACCTCATCTGCCCCTTTTACCAAAGCTTATCATGGCCATGATTCTCCTAAGATCCAATCTTTGCTCACCTGGTCATTCTCGTAGCCCTTCCCTGTATTTTTTGCATAGTAGTACTAGAACAGAACACAGTATTTGGGGATGAGGTTTAAGCAATGTGGAATGTAGGATAACATGCTAAGAGTTCAGAGGGAGGTTTTGGTTGGTCTGGCCTGTTTACTTCAGCATTGGTTCTGTAAGTATTAACATTGATTATATATTTCAGGGGAAAGGATAAAAGTACACATTAATGTGATGAAGTTAAAAGTTGCTAAAAATTTTACCTACTTCCTATGTCCACACAGCATGGACTACTTAAAATAAATCACAATTACTGACCTAATTCCTTGTCAAAAGTTAAGTTGACAAAATGCTCTTGCCTTCTCTTTATTTTTATTGTAAAACTGCTGTCTGATCTCAAGATTGTAGTATACTTCATCTGTCTCCTTTCTTTCACATTTATTCCCTGAATTGCTGGTTGAGATTACAGTGGCTAAGAGAGCTCATGGCTTGAATGGGATTTAACGTGGCAGCTATATTGACTTATAAAACAAGTGCTGGTATAATGTACTAGATAGGAAAATGTCTCAAAACTGGCACTACACTAGATTTCCTGCTGTGTTTTGAAGGTTCAGATAACCCATTAGCACTTTTAGATTGAATACAACCCATAGTTTTCTTCTGTGAGAATAAGGTCACAGTGTCCTGGGCTCCTGTAACCACTTTTTGTCTGTCTCCATTCATGTCCACCAGAGGGCAGACTTCCCTTTAAGTTTTAAACCATCCATTATGGCCTACAATGTCCAAGCTTGGTCTGCTGTGGCTTTCAGCTGTAGTGAGTGGGAATAATCAAGTTATAGTTTGGGATCTTATGGGTTAATGATATACAAAGTTACAGACTATTTGATGCTTAGGGCAATGTGTGTTTTCTGTTGGGTTAATGTGGAAACCATTCAGGTACTCAATCTGTTCTCTCTTTGCAGGGAGATGGCTGGGTTTATTATAACCCTCTCTGGAAAAGGATGGTTGCAGTACAAAATCATGAAGTGGACACTAACTAGACTTATTTCTTCATAATAATTCTTCTCTTTTGTCTAATCTGTACAACTTCCAAAATGCTGTATCTTGATTATGAGTCCTTTTGGATTTTTATACAATTGCACAAAATTAAATAAGCAGAAAAGAATAAAACTTTTAGGGCACTTTAAAGTTATAGGAAATCAAAAGGTAGGAGAAAGGACATTTCCGGCTATGTTTCTGCTCCCTCATTTAAAAACCAACCATCTTTATCTGGCACTCAACATTTTATTTGGACATTGTCTTTTTAAGCACACTCTGCAAAAACTGTGTTAAAAAAACCACCAAACCAACCAACTTAGATGCAGAGGCATTGAGAATTGGCTAGGCTATTTTGCTCCAATGGATATACATCCGGAATAAAACCAGAAAAGTGTTTTTAAAATCTGGGGTTCAGTTTGCACCCATATCTGAACTACTTTAGTGCTCCTGTAAAGAGAAGCCACTTTTTTTTGCTGCTTTGGATTACCTTTTGCTGAAAATCATGAAGAGGAAAACTTTTCATAGATCTGACCTTGGAATCAGTATTATGAGATGCCTGGATCAGAACTTGACACTAATTTTTAAAGTTGTTTCTTGGAGGGAAATGTGTGCATAGCTGTGGAAGAATGGGGGATTTGTGTAAGCTACATCATATTTAAAAAATTGTAGTGTAGATTAGAATTGTTAAGTAAGGGGTTTTTCCCCCCCTCCTGCCTGCAAAAAATAAAATAAAATAAAGTGGAAGAGGAAGATGGGGCAGAGGGTAAAATTCAGATCAATTTCCAGCTGATTTTTTCCCCCTATTTCCTTCGTGAGCTGTTTGTAATTGTTTTACGCTGTAAATACCATGAAAATATTTAGTCTCCTTATAAAAGAAGATTGAGACTTGATTTATGCAACTTTTTTTTCTTAAAAAAAAGTTGCTTTATATCTCTGCCCCTCTCTCTCCTCTTGCTCCTTGGGTCATCGGCCAAAGTGAGTGGGTGACCTGAGCTGTTCAGGTGAGTAATTTCCTTTCTGTTCTCTGTTCATGGTCAAACATTTTTATGTGCCCATCGAGTAGAGGGACCGTACCTTTAATTTTTCTATAGTACCCGAAGAGGCTTGCTTTTTTTGCTATGGGGGTGCATACAAAACCAAATGCAATCTGATATCAGGAACTCATGGTCAGGTAAATGTACCCCTTGTTTTTATATTACCAATATTTTATTGAAGTCCAAGAATTGCTGGCAATTAAGAATAGTACTGATTTATTGCTTTCATTCTTATTACTATGAGCTACCTTAATTTTTCTAAGAGTTGTGCCTTACTCTATTTCTTATGATGTAGTCTTCCAATCAGTGTATATACCATAGTCAACAAAAAACAAAACAGCCTCTCCCTTCCATCATGAAAATGTGTGTGTATGTGTGTTTGTCAAGTGCTTTTATTTTTCTTCCATACACAGGGATATATTAGTATATTTAACCACCCAAATGTGGTTAAATAACCACGCTTGTATTCCACAAAGACTAAAAAGAACTCAGAGGAATGAGCTGCCTACAGGTTGATATTTCCTGGTATTTCTTTTTTTCTTTTTGTTGTGAAATGCACTGAAACCTTACTGTGAGTTGTGTATGATACCATGTGTGATTAACGGGGAGGGACGGAAATAAAATGATCAAAAGGAACTTTTTGTTTTCTCTGCTTTAATAATAACGAAGTAATCTGATTGTACTTGGGGCTGCAGAGGGTGGATGCTAAGTTTCCTAATGGCTTTTAATTGCTGATAGTATCTCTCTTCTTCCTTCCATAGAAAAACTCACATGCCAGTTTATAGTGACTCTAGATAATTGAGATCTTGCAAGCAAGGGTTCAGCTTCCAGGATCTTTAGAGTTCTGTTGAGTAAAAATGTACTTGGAATGTGTGAACATTCAATGAGAGGTGCCAATCAATGGGGAAAAAATGTCAAGACAGTTCATAATTTTAAACAAATTTATCCCAAAATAGGTTTCAACAGAACTTCATTTTGGTTATGATACACATTGCAGACAGTCACATATATGCAAATAACTGAAACTTATGCATGTAGAAAGTTTTATGATGTAATCCAATTGTAACTCAAGCTTTATATCAGGACGGGTCCAGTGGATGCCTTAAATTCACGAGGAGAACTAAGGAACTTGGATGAGAAGGATGTTTGTGCTGAACTTCTATTTTGGGGTCCACATGAATTGGCTTGAAATTGAAATTTTGTTTATGCTTCTTAAATATAGAAGAAGAAGAAAAAAGAAAGCACAAGCGATTCACATTTTCTTTAGTTAAAATATGGACTGTGGCTGTAATGGAGAAAAGATTGTTTCTAAGCAAAATTCACAATAAGTTACTTCAGGATTGAGCTAGCAGATTTAGATTTTGGATTCACATTGGTTAACAGATTTTTTAAAATGATATAACTGAATAGTTCACAGCAAAGACATTGGGTTAACACATTCCAAGAAGTGATTTCTCAACCATTCCTTAAACCCATAATGGCATGGTTCCCACATATGTAAGTCATAAATCATGACTTATTAGCTGTGATAGCAGTTTTTACATGTCACTAATATGAGATGGCGGATTTTACATGTTACATTTAAATCAAAGCCAAACTGTAATCTGCCTTTGTGCATTATCTGAATCTGTATTAAAACTAGGAAATCTCTGAAAAGAATTTGTTTTTTTAAAAATAAGAAAGCTCAGTTTTTACCCAGTTAACTTCTTTAAAAAAGTATTCTTTAGAAAAAAAGATAGATGGGTCAATATTTAGTCCATCTGGTAGAATTAATATTTAAGAAGAAAAATGTTTTAAGTGCAAAAAAACAAATGCCTTGTGTATTAAGGTATCTGCTTTAGCATCAAGTGGTTTTTATTCACACAGCAAGGTTTATCTATACTGTAGCCCTTATAGTACCACTTCCCATTTTGCTGATGTGAAATCAGCAGAGCATTCATTCTTGGGAGTCCTGTTGCATTTCACTGTACATTTTTAAAAAGTATTAAATGATTAATATTCTGTGAATCCTTAATATAATCTTAATATAAATGGGTCTTACACATTTTTTTTAATCTGTCCAGGAAACTAAATGATGGGGCTGATGATATATTTCTTGGAAGACATGCCCTATTGGTGGTTCTGTCCTGCTTTTATTTCTCTAGTTATTGGATGTTCCTGTCATTATTTTGGTTCTCATCTCTTGAACAATCCATTTTGTTTGCTTCATTGTCGATGCTGTTGTTGTTGAGAATGTCATCACAATCTGTTTGTTCCATCAAGTTGAATCTCTCTGCGACACAATGGGCTGTAAGCCTAGCTTCGGGATCATGATCCCAGCATTCTGTAATGGTGTCGCAGAGAAAATGCATTCCCTGAAATGAACAAAAAAGGAAATTATTGTGTAACTTCCATTCTAAAGCAAATCGTGCTGTAAATACATAAAAATAAGATTCCTAGATCTAACACTTTTACTGGAAATTTCATGCAGGTAAATTTGTAATATTTAGACATTCTAATTTCATAAATGGTAATTTTGTGACTAGGATTTATTTCCTTGGTTGTACCATAAATGGTGGGATGAGGATTCAGTGCAAATACAATAGCACCCATGCTTAATTGTTGCCAAGAGACATCTCTTCCATTGTCAACCTCTCTCCAGTCCTTTCTCTAATGTAAGTTTGATAAAACTGTTAACACTCAACCATTCTTTTAATCTTAGTTCCACAATTAAAGCTACAATTGAGTTGAAAATGCCATATTTTCTTGAGGAGACAAATCTTAACAATACAAACAATCCCTTAAATATCCACCATCCCACCTTGACAATGACAGATCCTCATGCCATGGTCTCCATCTTATCCCCCCAACTTCCTGCTAAGGCATCCTAAAACGGTCTTTGTTTATTCTGGGTTGGAAATGATGCTTTCTTTCTCCAAATGCAAAATTTCTCATATAGATTATCTGGGGTGCTTCATTGACTGGTTTGGAGACGACGCCTCCAGGACCATGATCTACACAGGTCCATCTGAACTCATATTTTTCAGTGCAGGTTCTTTGGTTCCTGGATGCTGTAGGAGTCAAGGCTAAGTGGGAAGCACATGAAAGTGGCTATCTGAATGTAGAGGGCAGAAGAAATGACCACCAAGAATACAAGAAATAGCCCCTACCAAGGCAACTGTCAGATAAATGGAGCTTGAGCCCAGATCAAGAAAATAATTTGAGAAAACATTACTCAAAGGCGGCGGGGGTGGGTGGGGGTGGGGTGAAGCACATTCAGGCTTGCAAGTTTTTGTTATTGTAATTGCTACAATAAAAGTAGTGCTGACCTATCTATTTTTTAGTTTGGTCTCCTTTGTAAAACTGACATGGACCTGGAGTCCCATCTGAAATCAGTCTTCGAAAGCCTTCACCATCTATCTATGTAATCACACTTGCACGTGTGCTGTACATGTATGCATGTGCATAGATTCAAAAGCCACACTTCAGAAGTGAAGAAGCAAGGCAGAGCACACCAAGACATTAAGCAAATTAATTATAACCTATACATTATTTTGTGCTTTCAAATCCATGTGGACTCCTAGTAACTGACTGGACTAGTCCCTGCAATTTTCTTGCCAAGATTTCGTGCCTAAAGTGGGGCTAGAAATGAAAGTCTTCCAAGTTTATAACCTGATGCCCTAACCATTGTGTGCCTCTGTAAAATAATCTGCCTGATAAAATCACATGCATATATCAACTGTTCTCCCTCTAACACACAAAACAGGCTTTCAGATACACTCTGCTTCCTCCTCCTAATAGTAGTAGAAAGCATGAAAATGGAAAAGGGTGGTTGCACTGAGAAGGGAAGAAAAAAGTAGCGAAACTGCACAGAGATGAAGTAAGGGACACTTATGTATTAGCAAAAATTTAAAATTCAGCAGGCAAATAGCTGATGAAGCAGAAAGGCTAATCTTTAAAGGCATCCAAACGTTAATTCGTAGGTGCCTGGGGGCTTCCTTTGCTTTTCAAATCTTTGGTTGCCTGAAGGGACTCTACTAGTCCCTACTGGGGGGCGGGGCGGGAAGTGATGGAAAGAGAAGATTGTTTTGAAAGAACAGAAAAATTAAAAAACGAAATAACTACCAGTAGCTGTGCCCCACAGAATTCTGCACTCCAGCTTTAAAAAAGAAGTCTCTACTAATAGCTAATTTTAGGATAGAATTTTTACAAAACATTTAGCCCAGATGATGAAATGATATGGATTATTTTATTCCTGCAGTTACATATCAGAATCAGATAATGGTAGCAAAGGTGTCTCTTAATCAGTTATTAGAAGCAAGGCAAGTTTTCCATTTTCTTCCCTTTTAAACTGCACTTCTTTATTTTGCTTGCTGAACACAGGCTCAAACTATCCTAAGTTCCTGTCAAAGACAATAGCTGCATATTCCACCTTCCCACTGTGATGTCCGGCCAACTTACCCATATCCTACTATCAGGATAGACAGTGTTTTTCCCACTTGGATTATTCCCAGGTTGAACATTGCAGATACAATGCATTCAAACAGTATTCAGACCCTCTTCACTTTTGTCAATTTTTTTATACTGAAAGTCGATTCTATAATTGTTGAAATTCTTTTTTTCTCTCTCTCATTAATCTACACTGAGTACACCAGTGAAAACAGAAGTTTAGAAATGTCTAAATTTATTAAAAAAACAAAAACAAATATCACAATGGCATATTTCTGGTTTTTCTTTTTCTTTTGGGGGGTACTATGTTATTAAGGTACTATTAATGAGAAAAGGAATTTCAACAACTGTAGCAGGGGTGGGTTTCAACCGGTTCGTGGCGGTCCCTGTGAACCGGTTGGTCAGCGAACCCGGAAGTAAGTAACTTCCAGGAACGCCGAAGGGCCCACCCGCTTGCCCGCGCTCCTTACCCGGTTTTGACGAGTTCTGCGCTTCCACGCATGTGCAGGACGCATACAGCGCCTGCGCAATCCTCCAGGAGCAGCTGGAGCATTGCACAGACGCTAGTACGCATGCGTGCGCTGCGTGCGTGCACGCACGCACCGCACGCGTGCACGAGGATGCCGCCAGACCCGTTCCAACCGAACCGGTTGGAACGGGGCAAGAAACCCACCCCTGAACTGTAGGATCAGTGTAACAAAACTGACAAAAGTGAAGGGAGTCTTGAAGACTTTCTGAATGCATAGTAGGAATCCGCTAAATCTGATGCTGCCATTTTTGTAAGCGTTAATACTGTATTTTATTTGTAAGTTAAGGTGCCCCAGATGACAGATTCCAGATGATTGTTAAAAAACAGAACCTGCTTGCAGCTTTTATCATTTCATGTTTTAAAATAATGTTAGCATAACTTCAGATAAGCTGAAACAAAGGCTACGCACATTTACTGAAGTATCATTTTGCAATGTCCAAAATTCCCTATTTTGTTCCTTTGGACAGTCAAATTAAGGGTTATTTCCTGACAACACAATTTCATCCAGTATTGCATTTGGTGCATCTATTGAAACTGAAAGATGTACAGTGGATTCCATTAACTTCAACTGAAAATGGGTGTTCTGAATGCCCACCTGGGTTTTAAAACATTGAGCCCAGAGGGTAGTAGATATAAACCTTTTTTTCCTCTACAAGTAGAAAAATAGCTATAAAAAGTGAGTATTCAAAAAAATGGAATATCCTCTTAGGATTTTCTAAATGTTTCAGTTCTCCCATCTTGTCTCAAATTCTTGCAAAATTTGTTTTTCACTTGAATTCAGTTGCCTTGCAGCACCTGAAATACCAGCCCTTCCCAAAAAGATACCCACCAACAGCTCTACCCATAGCATGGAGGACAGTCAACTATGGAAGGTTGGAAAAACTATTGCAGTGTCCAGCCAATCAGCTGTTCTTCAAAGAGATAGGTGCAGTTAAACCTGGTGAACTATTACTTAACAAATTACCATAAATTCCTGAGGCTATAGACTGGATTGGGAAGTTAAAAAAATATTGGAGGAAGATAATAAAATACTTCTGTATTAGTGCCAAGCTTAAGGATAAGACTTAATTTTTATTTTTGAAATATAAATACATCACTTGCCTTAGCTCGCTGATGGCTTGGCTTCACTGATAACGGATAAGAGCCTGTGGCCTAATGGCTAAGAAGTCTGCCTAGTATGTAATATAGCCCANTGCCTCCATTCTTGTGAAAAAAGTCCCATTTTCCTCCGGTTTTTCACAAAAACAGCAGTTTTTTGCCTTCCCCCAGCCCTGCTGAAGCCTGCAGAGTGCTTCTGGGGACTGGGGGAAGGCAGAAACACCTCAATTTTTGGGGTGGGGGTGGGGGGAAGGGAATGACAAAAAAAAAATTCTTACTTCTTTGCAATCTTGGTGCATCTTATACACCGGTGCAAAAAATATGGTAGTCTCAATAGAATGGTCCCACAAAAAAGAAAGGAAAAGTGAAAAAGGAGAAACAACCCATTTTTATTCATAATTCTTGCTACCCTGTCAGAGTACTGTGTTATTTTGTTCATTCCTTTAACCTATTGACCCTTGAGAATATGGCTTTCTTATTTCTAATAATAAAGAAAATATTTGTCTTTAAATTATAAATATCCATCACAAATGAATAAGCTTCATAACAAGCTTCTCTGAAAATAAACATTGTATGCTTCAATATACTTGGCAGAAAGTGATGCTGCTGTTAGGAACACAAGGCATTTATGCTTCTGTCTGTTAATGAATTCCAAATAATTGTAAAGAAATCGTAACCAATATGATGTTTGTTTGTTTCAACCAGGAAGTGCTTTAGTGTCTAATCTTCTGTTTTTCCTTCACTGTCTCTAATTTTCAGTGTGATCAACTGCCCGTATTCTGAAATAAACCTGAACAAAGAACATACTCTTTCGGACCGTTTAAGTGGGGAGACCCCTTTAAATAATCCACCTATGCATTGGAATCGAAAATCAGAAATAAATGAAAGATCAGCCTCTCCTATAATCAAGTAACTATGTCAATGAAATTATGCTGAAACATTATTGTACTATATGTGTTTTATGTGCGTGGCTGATCCTGAAGTACATATGTTGTCTTGTGTGATGTTTGTTTCAGGATACAGGGGCAAACTCAAAAGGCCTTGACTGATTTTTTTTTAAAAAAAATGTGAATTCTTTAAGTAAGTTCATTTTGCACTTGTGGGAAGAACTTGGAAATGCTTGTGACTCATCAGTATGTATTTCTAAGACTGAAAGAGAAGTGCTTTTGTCTCCGTTGTAAGGTTCTAGTTATTCCCAGGGGATTTGGGCTTTTTTCTTCCTCTTGAGCAGTTTAATCCCATATATCATCAGAAAATGTGTTTGAATCTTTCTACATTTCAAAAAGAAAAGCCATGGGGAACTGCTGATCAAGAAATAACAATCCCAAATCCCATTGGGCATTGGGAACAAATTGCAGTGATTTCAATCCTGATAAGTATAAATGTCTTTTGTTGATGGCATATATCGATTATACACATGCTCATATTTATACTGTGTTTCTCCGAAAATACAACCTGTCCTGAAACTAAAGCCTTGCCACATTTTTTGCGTGAACAAAAATATAAGCCCACCACCGAAAATAACCCTCCGGACAATCCCCCCCGTCTCTGGCCAGGCAGACCACCACTCACCGGTATCCTGAAGGGGCCAAGCTGCAGGAGTTGGAGAGAAAGGCCCTCACATTGCTTGCCGCCTTTGGGATACCTCTAGGTTGGGGAGTGGTGTTCTGCCTGACCGGAGGGGGTAGTTGCCCAGCTCTCCCTGCAGCAGCAACAGCTGCTGCCGCACTCCAAGCATAACGTCTTCTCCGGTTCCAAACTCGGCTGCCGAGTCTTCCAGCAGCGGCCGCTCTAGGAGTGCGCTCTGTGGTTGTGGGCTGGCTGCTGGAAGACTCTGTAAGAGAGTCTTCCAGACAGAGAGTCTTCCAGCCGCTCCACTGCTAGAAGACTCAGCATCTGAGTGTGGGAGTTTGGAACTGGAGAAGACGTTATGCTCGGAGCGCCACGTCGGCTGCTGCAGGGCGAGCTGGGCCCGGACATGTTGAGGCTAGGAGGCATGCCTGCTGAGGGCAGAACAGACGCTCGCTCAACCCCCTTCTCCAGCCCAGCATGCACTGACTAATGTTCCAAGCCGCGGGAGCTGGGGAGTGGGCAGAGCACCACGTGGCTTGGTGCCTTAAGGATACCCCTAGGTCAGTGAATGGTGCTCTACCCGGCTGGAGAGGGGGTTTGCCGGGCGGTTGCTCGTGAGCTTGGTCACCTCATGGCTGCTTCGCCCCTGAGGCTGTGCCTGGCTCTTTGGGAGCCAGTTCTCAAGGAAGCAGCTGCCCAGCAACTCCAAAACAATAAGCCCTCCCCTATAATAAGCCCAAAGCCATATTTTGTAAGTAAGAAGAAAATAAGACCCTATCGTATTTTTGGGGAAACACAGCAATGCATGGTTTTATTGAAGACAAATCTTTAAATCAGATGCATACAAAGCTGGAGAATTAGATTACACATTTTCTCTTTTTGTGAGACTAAATGTATATGTTAAGGTAGTGCTTCTTCACCATGGACCCCCTTTAAAAACCTTTTGTGGCCATGGACGATGGTTACAGACCACCAAGACTTAACTCAAGATCTAAATCATAAAATTTCTTCAAGCCTTTGTGAACCACCTACGATGACTTCATGTAAATGCTTTAAATAAATAGCCAGGTATATGCTAATTATATTCAATTAATAAATAAGAGATACTCAGTAATATTCAGCTTTATTTTCCAGTTTAAGTTTTGCATCAATGCAGAATTTTAAATAATTGCTTTTTTATATATATAACAGTAACAGAAAATGTCCTAGTCCCACTCACACTGGAGTAAAGCCTGCACCTCATTTACAGTCTTCAAAGGAGGAAGATACAGATGTGAAACTTCTTTGCAAAAAGCCTTTAGTGTGTGATGTCAAAGAAGAAAACTGCAGGTATCTATCTGTTTTGTTTTAAAATACTATATATTTTAGCTCTGATCTATGTAATCTGTAATCTCTTTTGCTGCTTTCCAAAACATAATCTTTTATTCAAGATTTTAATTGTATCATGTAAATGATGTGGCCTACAAATCCATTTGCTAAATTTTTGAAAGGGCAAAAACGGCCCTCCAGGATCTGAAGTCCCTCTGGAGGCCGGAAACATTCTCCATTTCTGGCACCAGGAGGCTTCAGTGAAGACCTCCAGAGCCTGGGTGAGGCCATTTTAGCCTTCCCAGAGGCTCGAGGAAAGCCTCCGGAGTCTGGGGAGGGCAAAAAACAGAAGTTCCATATTTCACCGTCTACANAATAGAATAGAATAGAATACTTTATTTGGCATTATTGTTGTTGTTGTTCTTATTAATTCGATTCAGTCTGGGACTGGTAAAAACGTAACAATTAAAGTCCTAACCAAAGAACTATTAGGTAGATCTGAGTATATAGGCAGTTCCAAGGATGAGAGTGATGATACATGACATTTTATCTATGACTGCTCATCTTGGCATGAAATGCTTGTTGCTTTAACACAATTACAAGACTTATATATTATGCATAGAAATTGTAACACAATCACAAAACTTACATATTAGGCATAGAAACACAGTATTTATTATCCTATGCATTCTTGCGCCTTTTCAGTCAAATGTATGAACTAGGTACATTTGTCCTAACAAACTAGGTATATTTAAATTAACAAACTAGGTATGTTTAGTTTAACAAAGAGAAGACTGGGAAGAGAAACATAATAACCGTCTTCCTGCTATACCTGAATGGCTGCCACAGGGAAGAGGGCATTATTCTGCATAGCACCTGAAGATAGGACAAAAACCAAAGTATGAAAGGTCATCAAAAGAAGAGCCAGCTTGAAATGAGAAATTTTCTGGCAGTGTAAACTATTGAGCAGTAGAGCAGCTTGCCTTTCAAAGTTGTGGGTGCCTCATCATTGGAGGTTTTCGAGATAGTGTTGGACAGCCATTTGTCCAGTATGGTATTAGGATTCCTGCCTTGGGCAGATGGTTAGACAAGAAGACCTCCAAGACTTTTCCAAGCTTATGATTCTATGTTTCTACATCACCAAATTCAATGCATGGTTAAGAACACTGAAATCCCAGCATGGGTAAAGTCCCATTGTTCTTTAATAGGTATTCTTCAGCTCTGCCCATCTTAATACAACAAAGAAAAAATTGACCAACAAACCTTACTATTAAAGAAGGAGCAGGACAATCCAAAGACAGTCCTCTGTCAAACTGAGGCCCCTCCCTCCCTGATGTGTTTAGATTGTATTTCCCATCATCTTAGACCAGGGCCGTCAAACGGATCAGATGCGTCACACACTGGCCACGCCCATGCCCAGTTAAGAAAAGGGGGAAGTCCCGATAGGTCAAGTGAGACCGCCGTGACGCCCCTGAGTTTGACACCCTGTCTTAAACCAGCAGCGGCATTGCTATGACAGTGATCAGCCTTCATTCAGCAGATTAAAAAGTACCATTTTTCACATGCTAATTCGTAAGGGTTGCAGCTCCTTTTTACAGATAGCACAGAGCTCACGCCCTGCTTTTATTTTCACAAAATCTAAATGAGAGAGCCAATTTGGCGTGATTGCGACCCTATTTGGACCAGGAGGCCCTTCAGATAGTCACTCATGCCCTCGTCACCTCAAGACTGGATTACTGTAACGTGCTCTACATGGGGCTGCCCTTGAAGAGTGTTCAAAGACTTCAGTTAGTCCAGAATGCATCCGCGCGAGCAATTGTGGGTGCACCCAGGTACACCCACGTTACACCTATCCTCCGCGAGCTGCACTGGCTTCCCATTGGTCTCCAGACACGCTTCAAAGTGCTAGTCGTTACTTTTAAAGCCCTACGTGGCATCGGACCTGGTTACTTGAGAGACCGCCTCCTGCCAATTACCTCCCTGAGGCCAATAAGATCACACAGATTGGGCCTCCTCTGGATTCCATCTGCCAGCC